TTTTCTTTATATTAATCATTGAGAACCAATTTTGACTTCTCCAAATGCCCATTTCCACACTCCTATAGAAACTACGGCCTCTCTTATCACTAGCCGCTGCTTCTGAACCATGTCCATTGCTTATTCCTTTGTAAAAGAAATCAGGTTTCCTTTAATATTTGATATGAAGCAAAAGAATGTCCGTAGGTCAAAGCGGGATTGATTTGAAGGAGTTAGATTTTAAAATCCCATTAAACAGCAGGACAAAGGATAGCACATTATTAAAATAAAAATGCTTTAAAAATGAAAAGTATTATGCCACACAGTAGAAAGATCAGATTTTTATTAATGCAAGTTTTAAATGCTGATTAATCCTCTTGAGAATCAGTTTCCAAAAGCTTTGGCTAGCAGTCAAGTCTCTTTCAAAGGGGCACAGCACTTCCATTATTCTGAATATTAATTGAGGGATATTATAACTAAGAATACTGAGCAAGATTTAAAACATGATTACAGCTGTCGTTGCTTGTATCTAAACAAGTCATTGGAAATTCAGGAGGGGGGGCAGAACTGTTGTTTCATGGAGAATAAGACTTTCAAAGGGCACTAGTCATGATGGCTATGCTTTACCTCCAGGACCAGAGAAAATATGCCTCTGAATCCCAGCGGCTGGGGGGGAAACAGGGGGTGAGTGCTACTGTGCTCATGCTCTGCTTATGGGCTTCCCATAGGAATCTGGTTGACCACTGTAAGAACAGGATGCTGGAATAGATGGGTCTTTTGAACTGATCCAGGAGGGCTCTTCTTATGGCAACTGAACAGATACGCTTATCTCCACATGCCCCCATGACCACTTTGGGGAAATGGTTCCAAGCACCTCTCATTCAATCTGCCAACCTCTCTATCCTCAGGGATCATTCGATTTTTGCAGACAGTGGGCCAGGATTCTGTTGCCCCTGTTGTCAACCACCATGATAACGTTTAGCAATAACAGGATCATGATTTTGAAGCAGCTGCAACATGGATCATTCCAACTACTAGCCAGTCGACTACTGGTTTGGGTCAAGCAGTTTGAGCTAGTGATTACCATGCACACTTCAATGGCACTGATAGGTCTATTTCAGTCTTGCTTTGGCTCTGAAATGGCTTTAGCTCCCCACATGGATGAGTTTTGCTGGGTGAAGACCACTCGGCTAATTCTCCTGTGCATCCAAGTGGTCTTTGATACAGTTGACCACAGTAGCCTCCTGAATAGGCTCTCTGCTTTGCTTTCCAGAAGCTGGTGCAGAGGGTCTACTGCTCCACCCTATTTATGTAATGAATGTAGGACTGTACTGAATCAGACCACTGATCCAACTAGCTCAAGACTTACCCCCTTGCTTCCCCCAAGGAAAACCACTCTTTACTGCTCAATCAGAGCAAACAGCAATTCGAGTTTTCTCTGGATTGCTGTTTGCTCTGATTTAAGCTAAAGAACAGATTTTCCCTGGGAAAGGAGGAAAACTGCTCAGACTCATGTCTAGAAAGCATAGGTCAAGCAGGAAACCACTCGGACCCATGCTTTCTAGGTACGAAACAAGCAGAAGTGTGGCTGAGCCCTCAGTATTGCCCACACTGACTGGCAGCAGCTCTCCAGACTTTCCGATAGGGAAAAATGCCCAGCTCTAAGCTATACGCACTCTTGGGCATGCCAAGCTGTCAAAAGGCAGCCAGGGACTGTGAGTCCTCCATGATCCTTAACTGATTGCAAAGTCTCCTGGCCAAGTGAAACTGCAATTTGTGAGGTGGTGATGGAGTTTGAATTTGGGTGAACTTGGAAATGAACTGAGACCTTTCCCAATTTGGAAGGAAATGGTTCCACTTCTTACCGAGTCAGGCCAATGCTAGCCATGGATGGCTTGCCCTTCTCTACTTGTTACATGGGTCATAGGGACACAGGCAGCAGCCTTATATTGAGAGAGACGGTCAGTGGAAAGTGGTCCATTAGGGCACATGAGGCAGTCAGCTCCCACCTGCCTGTCTCTTTACTTACAATTAGTCCAGGCAGTTCTTCCATTCTCTCGGCGCTGCCCTTGTAGAACTGAGCAGGGAGGAGGATGTGCGCAAGAATCACTTGGCTCCACCTGCCATTGGCTTCAGCTCCACCTATCACTAACTTCCCTGCTCTCCCGCCTCCACTTCCAAAGAGCACCTGCCACCATTGGTCAGACCACTGGTCCATCCAACTATTTTTCACATTGACTGGTGGCATCTCTCTAGGATTCTGGGCAGGAGATTCTTCCAACCCTCCATGGAGACACCAGGGGATGAACCTGGAACATGAGTTGCTGCCCTTTTAGGAGTGTAGAATGCTGCTCCTTTGGTTCCAACTTCTCCTGCTGATTAGGCCCGCTGCATTATGAAAAGGCTGTATTAAAAATGTATAGTCCATGTTTTACTCAGCGCATTTGTCAGCCACTGAAGAGGGACTCTTACGTAACATTAAAAAAAGGGGATCCAGTCCTAATGATGAAAAAGAAATAATAAAAAAAGGATAATGGTGCAATCATAACATCTCTCGGAGTTTGTACATCTCAGTTGCCGTTTGGCACGAGGCGTGGCTTCTCCTTGCCAAGCTGGCACCAAACCGCAATATGTTCACGAGAAAAGGGAGGGCACGGTTTAAGGGGGGGGAAGGGAGCTAGAAGTGTTATCCATACACTGTCTAATTATACAACCTTACTGTCCCAGAATGCGATTTCTCAAACCATTTCTGACATATGGGAAGAGGGGAGAACAGCTGGTCATTAAGGTTTTCTCAAGACTATTTAGCAACACACTTGAATGTAATTAAAGTGCAACATTAAATACTGCACTTGCGCACAATGTATTTTTAATCTTTATGGTGTGCTGTAAAAGGAAATATATGCAAAGCACTGAAGTTTCTCCCTTCATCCTCTTCGCTGTTAAAAGAGAGGCAGCGATTCCCCTTCCTACACTTTTTTGGATTGCCTCAAGGATGATTGGACACTTTTGTTTTGCCTGGCAAACTGCAAATCCCAGTACGACCAGCAGAAAATGGCTCTGGCCTTACATGGGTGGACTGGATGTTTTTACACTAAAACCTGGTTTAAACGACAATTGCCACATGCTGGTCTTTTTTTCTTTTTTAACCTTTTATTCCATGTCCTTCCGTATTGCACTGAGAAAGCCGAACGGGCTCAAATGATGTGATCTTGAACAAATGAGTTATTCCTGCACACATCTCAACAATAACCTCCAATACCCACCTCCAATGAATCACACCACAGATTACAGGTGGCCACACTGTGGCTCTCTGCCTAGTTTTATGTAGCCCTTAACTGAATTTCAAAAACCCTTTGCAAGCAATAAGAGTCTGCCAAGAGTCCTCTGTCCCTTGCCCAGCAGCTTACTGAGCAGGGAAGAATAGGGGCAACAAAGCATGTAGCAGAAAGAGACTGCTGCTGGCTTCTGCCCTGCTCACAGTCAATATGTTGTTCCCAACAGATAACCACCAAGGGCAAGTAACCCTCTGCAGAAAAGAGCTTGCATATATCCAGTGCTTTTTCGGGGGGGGGGGGCAGGGGTACACATACCCCTAAACATTTTTCTAACGGGAGAAGAAACTGCTGCTACCCCCGATGGCAGCCTCTTTTCCTGTCACCATGTTTCCTGAGTCTCAGATGGAAGCGAGCGTTTAATATGTGAAGTAGGAGTTGGAATCTAGCACGGTGATTGGTCAGTTTTGTTGTTACTACCTCCAGTGGTGGCTTCATTTCCTTTCCCGGCATAATGCATGTTCTTTGTACTTTTGTCCATTTACTGTATTTATTTCCCCCTGATTTGAACTATAAAATGGTGATTTTCTTGAGTCAAAAGGAGAGTACATTTTTTAAGTAAAAAAGCACTGCATATATCCCTACCACTGGACTACTGCAATGTGCTCTATGTGGGGCTTACCTTTCACTTGACCCACAAACTGGAGCTACTGTGCTAGGCTGCAGGTGGGATTGAGCCCCTTCCGTATGCAACATCTTTGCATAGAGATCTGCACTGATTGTGATTTGTTGCCGGGCCAAATTCAAGGTGTTAATATTAGTATATAAAGCCCAGAACAGCTTGGGGCTGGTTTACTTGTGGGATCACCTTACCCCTTAAGTGCCCACTTTACCAAGTGGATCTGCGTAACTGGCAGTGCTACAAGTGCGGCATAATCCTCATTCTGAACTTCTAAGAAATCACTCTCTCCGTTTGGCAGCACCAATGTTTGGGAACTCTCTGTGGACATCAGGCAGGCCCCTCGGTCACACCCTTTCCAATGCCTGCTTTAAACATTTTTCTTCAGGCAAGCCTTTGTTTAGACGCTGACGTGCGTTTTAATCTGCTTTCAGCTTACTGTTGATTTTAATTATTTAACTATATATTTTAATTTGTTGAATTCCACTCACATTTACTTTTTGTCCCCATCCTCCATTTCCTCTGTGTCAAATTATCAATTGTAAGCTTTTATCGGACAGGGAGCTGTTCTTCTGGAAAGTACCAAGCACACCACTGGCATATTCCAAAGAATTAAATACTAATAATTTGTGGGCGTGGAGTAAAATCATTGACATGCCATGTGTCTGGGAATGATTCTAAAGTGGAACCTCGGGTTACGTACCATCCTCCTTATGCACGCTTTGGGTAACGAGCTTTGCTACCCCGGAAGTAGATCCTCCCAGTTGCGAACTTTGCCCTGGGACGCAAGCGGAAGTCGTGCAGCAGCGGCACAGTGGCAGCGGGAGGCCCCATTAGCGAAAGCGATCCTCATGTTAAGAACAGTTTCGGGTTACAAACAGACCCCTGGAATGAATTAAGTTCGTAACCGGAGGTACCACTGTAGTTTATTGTGCTTTATTCCGCAAACAGCCCAGAAATGTCAGCACAGGAGCACGGTCTGTGAGCTTCAGTTGGCGCAACAACTGCATCTGTTTCTGGATCAGGATGGTTTGGCTACAGTAGTCCAACCTTCAGGTTGGATTACAGCAGGCCTGGGTAGCTCAGCTGGTTAGAGCATGGTGCTGATAACGCCAAGGTTGCAAGTTCGATCCCCGTTTTTTGTTATAAGACCCAGTATGTGTGGCCTCCCTAACCCTTTCCACTGGCTCATATAAGACCAGCACAAACAGTTGGGCCTGGTGAGCACTCAATGTTCCCATCCCCTATAGTTATAATCTGTGGGTTGCCATCTGATTTTATTCTGCTCCAAATTTGATTTTAAGCTGTATTTTAATCGATGGTTTGATTTATGTTTTTAATGTATCACACTTTGATGTTAGCCGCCCTGGGTATAAATAAATAAATAAATTTTATTGTTGTTGTTGTTGTTGTTGTTGTTGTTGTTGTTGTTAGACAGCTGCATATTCCTGCATTGCAGGGGGTTGTGCTAGATGATCATCAGGATCCCTTCCAACTCTACAATTCTATTATTATGTGAGTGCTCTCTTTGTGTGGTTTCCCTCAGGTTTGGTTCAGAAGCTGCAGCTAGTGTAGAATTCCACAGCAAGGTCGCTGAAGGTGCCCTATCAACAGTGCATTGTGCTTATACTGAAAGAGCAGCATTGGCTGCCAATAAGGTCTTGTTATTGGCACGTAAAAAAAGCCCGGAACAACTTGTGACCAGGCTACCTCCTGGAATGACTTGCCCTTCTCAGTTGGTAGAGACACACTTTCTAGTGCCACAGGCTTCTGAGGTTCATCCTACATCCATGAAGAGCAGGGCCTTTAGTGTGGTGGCACCCACCTTTTAGAATGCACTTCAAACAAACATCAGGCAGGAGGCTACAGCAATGGTGTTGGCATTTATGTGTCTGTTTAAATCTCATATGTTTCCCGAGACTTTTCCTGGGAGGTGATCTAGCTTTGCTGATGTTTTAAGCTGATCCACCGATCTGTGATGTATTTTGTGTTTGTCTTAATAAATGCAGTTTTATTGTTGATTGTATGCTGTTCACCACCATGATATATATATATATATATATATATATATATATATATATATATATATATAATGTTGGCAGTACAGAGATTTTTTGCAAATAAATAAAAGGCATCTCCAGTTTGCCCCATTTTGGATACGCAGTTTTCTCCTTTGAGGTCTGTCACTTGGGCAAGCCATTCATGGACTAATGGCATAACCTTTGATTCCAATTACTCAGCAGCATCATTGAGCAGATGGTGCTGCCCTCATAATTCAGCCATGGTGTCTTGATTGCTAGGGATGGGGAAGGCATTTGGATCAGTTCGCAAAAGAAGAGACGAACTGAAAGGCAGATATCCTCTGAATAGCACATTTCTCCGAATTTTGTGGTGCAGTTCTCCAACCTAGAAATGTGTACCAAAAATGTGTGTATTAGAGGAAGGTGTACATGGGTAAAATTGTGTACTAAAATGGGTATTATTAGGGGAAAGTACAATAAATTTGCATGAGAGCGATTTATTATTCATTCATTCATTTATCATTTTTTACATGTGTCTCAAGGCAATTTACCAACATGCTATGAGAACAGTACAAAACAACCAAAGATAGGAGTTTTGTACTGTTTCTGAATCTAAGGCAAATATATCTTTTCATCCAGCTTTTAAATTTGCAAACATGTTTTGACTGTAAACTGATCTAAACTTAAGAATGAAAAAATGAGAAATGATATACGATAGGTAGATAAGATGACAGATGATAGATAGATGATATAGATAGGTAGATAGATAGATAGATAGATGATAGATAGATGATAGATAGATGATAGATAGATAGATAGATAGATAGATAGATAGATGATAGATAGATAGATAGATAGATAGATGATAGATAGAGATAGAAAGATAGAAAGAAAGATGATAGATAGATAGATAGATAGATAGATAGAGATGATAGATGATAGATATAGATATAGATAGATAGATGATAGAGACTTTATACTGCTACTCTAATGGTGGTGAAGTCTCTCCAGTCTACCCCTTGCATTGTCACTAACTCCTTCATTTTTCTCTTCTATTCATCGTTTCTATTAAAATTCTATCCCTGGTCCCATCCAGATGTTGTGGACTACAACTCCCATCACCCCATGACCCTCCTCTATGAAATTGTTTGTTCATCTGCATGGTGGGACAAAACAGAAGGCAGCTGGGACTAATTTATTTGCAGCTACCGCAAAAGGCAGGTGTATAGGACAAGTAACGGCTTTTAGGACTCTGGGCGGCTGGATAGCCAAGTCAATCTGACCATTTAGTTGCATCATATTGCACTACATAAATGCTGCTTTGCTCACTGCTTCTGTATCGCTGGGGACTTGGCATCCAGTGATTAAAAAGATGGGCAGAAATCTTGGCTGACTGTCCATCCAAGAGTGACACATTGTTTGTTGGGTTTGAGAGAAAATCTTGGGAGCAATCTCTCTAATTGGTTCCTTCCTAAGCACATGTGAGAGCCGAATTTTGCCCATGAATCCAGTTTCTGGACCAAAGGAAAGAACAGCCTTAAACCGATCCAAGCTAGAAAATGTCTATAATTACGATGAACACAGGCTGCATAGCATGTTCATTTCAGCAAATTATACCATTCTGGTCCTCACCTCTTCCTTGAGTGGCTAATTCCTTTTGTAACTTCGTCACAGCATAGAATTTCACAGGTTTAGCAATTTCAAGTAAATTAAAGGTAAAGGGATAGTTATTTATCTCTCCCATTTAAACTAGCCAAATATAACATGTAAATGAAATGAAAGCAGGCCCTATGATACTAATGCGAGCAGCTCGTTCACCACCCCACACACTCACATACCAGATCTAGTGAAACAGACTAATGAAGACTCTGCTAATTTCTCCAAAGTGGAACAAAACATATCGGGTAAATAGCCACCGCAACATTTTCTTCCGTTGTTATCCAACACTCAGTCTAAAGCAACAGCTGCAGAAGGCTATTCATATGAAATATTTCCCCTTGTGTTTAGACTACTAGGAAACTACGACAATCATGTAAAAATGGCCTTGTCATCATGGAAGCCAAAATGAATCATTTACCCACCCATTCAGCAGTGTCGGTCAGGAATCTATCTGCTCATCCACCCAGAACAGGGTTATTACACACACTTTAGTAAGACTAATGTTCTCAAACCAGCATCTCAGATTGTGGGGATCCTACAGGCCACTGCCCACATTCTACATTTGTAATCTGCCTTTCTATCTAAAAGACTCTCAGGGTGGGAAGCAACAATTCACCACAGAGCCTATGTGGCATACTTCTCCTTCACATTTGCAGGTGAGACCGAGCAACAGGAGCTCACCCCGTCGCAGGGATTCGAACCGCCGACCTTCTGATCAGCAAGCCCGAAGCTCTGTGGTTTAGACCTCAGCGCCACCCGCGTCCCAAACTCTAGGTAAGATTACTGCAACGTGTTATACATGGGGCTGCCTCTGAAGATGGTTTGGAAACTTCAGCTGGTATAGAATTCAGAGGCCAGGTTGCTCACTGGAGCAAGATGGGCTGAGCATATAACGCCAATCTTGGCCCAATTGCACTGGCTGCCAGTTAGTTTCTGGGCCCAATTCAAAGTGTTGTTTTTGATCTATAAAGCCTTAAATGGTTGAGGACTGCCTGTCCTCATATGAACCGACTCGGACCCTGCAGTCATCCTCCGAGGCCCTTCTTTGTGTGCCTCGTCTGTGATAGGTCTGGAGGGCAGCAACACAAGAACGGCCCTTTTCTGCAGTAGCTCCCCATTTGTGGATTGCTCTCCCCAGGGAGGCTCGCCTGGCACCTTCATTACGTATCTTTAGGCACCAGGCAAAAAAATCCCTCTTCACCCAGGCCTTTGGGGGCGAGAATTGATTTTGTTTATTATTATGGTATGCATTTTTGTCTTTTTATATTGCAAAGCACCCTGTAATCTCCAAATGTAGGGCAGAATAGAAATAGTAGTGCCCGTTAGAGTTTTAGACCAAACACAGGTTCAAAACTCCATTTAACTGTCAAGTTTGGTTAGTGACCTGAGGCTCGTCACCATTTCTCACGGTAGCTCACCTTACAAGTTTCTCGTGAGGATAAATATTTGCGATTTTAATGGGGATCATTGTACGTTTTATTATTGTTTTGGATTGCAGGACGTCTCAAATTGCTTTGAAAATTAAGTTTTTTAAAAAAATAATCTTAACAAATGCAATAATAAATAAAATAAAATGGCGGGATTGGGCACACTGTCATAAATAAGGAAGGGTGGAGGAATAAACAAACAGAATTCAATACAGTACATTGGTAAACAAACAGAATTCAATACAATACATTGTAAAACAAAAGTGAATATTTAGACCATGAGAGTTATGATTATCACAGGACAGTGGCTAGGTTGCTAGTGATCTACAGCAGCCATCTTCAGGCATGCAGATCACACACAATTGCATGGAATGGGAGGAGAATGCCCCCACTGGCTTTGCCCTTGCCATCATGTCCCTGTTGCCCACCTGTTGTCCATGCATACCTTAAGGACCACCCGAGCCCTTATGTTGCAGCCTGATAACTGAGATCATCTAGAGAAGCACCATTAGCTGTTCTCCGGGTTTCAGATGCCCAACTGGCCTCAACCAAAAGTCAGGCATGCAGTTGCCTACATTGGTCCCATGTTGCGGAACACTCCTCCAGCCACCTTGGAGTCACCAGTGCCCGAACCACAGTGGTCAAGTGGCTTCTAGCCATGATGGCTATGCACTGCTGCCACAGTTTGAGGCAGCGATGCTTCTGAATGCCAGTTGCTGGAAACCACAGGAGGGGAGAGGACTCTTGTGCTTGCATCCAGCTTACTGGCTCCCCACAAGTATCTGGGTGGGAACAGGAGGCTGGACTACATGGGCCACTGGCCTGATCTGGCAGGTTATTATTATGTTCTTAAGTACATCAGATAGACGTACTTAGCATTTCTTGCAGTTAATGATGAGCTCTAGTCTACAAAAGTTCATGCCACAATCTATGCACCTTTAAAGCTGCCAGAGATCTCTTTGTTATTCCTTGGTGGGAAGTCTCTGTAAGCAGCAAGGTTTTGTCCACAAAAAGAGCCGTGGTCTCAGCTGGTAGAGCATGAAACTCTGAATCTGAAGCCCCATGTTGGGCAAAAGCAGGGACTTTTTTCAGCCGGAGCTCACCGGAACTCAGTTCCGGCACCTCTCAGCTGGGCACCATTGCCATTCTAAGAGAACAAGAGAGGTGTCCATGGTAAGTTCCACCAACTCTTTTTCTAGAAAAATAGCACTGGACAAAATATTCCTGCATTACAGGGTTTAGGACGAGATCATCCTCATGGTCCCTTCCAACTCTATGATTCTTTATTGTTGAACTGGAGACCTGGAAGGAACCAAAGAACATTGTCAAATTCCCTAACTGAGGAAGTGATCTCATCCATTCCTCATCTCTCTAAAGCTGCTCAGTCTCCAATACGTTTCTGCATGATTTCAGCTTATTTGGGTAGAATAATTTTTAAAGTTGTTTTTTTAAAGAAACAACAAAAAACTTCATCTCAAATGAGCTGAATCATGCATAAGTGTACCAGCGACTGTGCAACTGTAGAGGAATGAGAATAGATGAGATCACTTCCTTAAACTTGCAGAACAGCAAGTTCATACCCCATGGGAAACAAAACAGAAGCATCCTCATTCAGAAGTGGGAAAACATGCAAAGGGCGGTAGCAGACAACTTGCCCTTAAAATCAGTGGAGTTGTTTGAAAGCGCTTATCAGAAATGCAAGCTAAGCTTTGATATCTTTCTTTGCAATTGCTGAAGCTCTGTCTTCAGTATTTTCAACCTGTACCACAAATGTATATGTCTGTATAAAAGCAGGATTGCACCCACCCACTTCCTTTATCCTGTTGTGGCCCCATTTGCAGTATACATTTAAAGCAGTATTTCATACTACTTGAAACCATCATGAATCCTGCGAACAGTGTAGTTTGCTAAAGGTGCTGAGAGTTGTTAGGAGGCTCCTATTCCCCTCACAGAACTATAATTCTCAGAATGGTCTATCCCTCTTCCCAGGGAACTCTAGGAACTGTAGTTCCATGAGGGGAATAGAGGTCTCCTAGAAACTTTAAACATCTGTAAGAAACTACACTTTCTGTGCCTGGAAAGATCAGAGGGAAAGGTAAGTGTGGATAAGCCGTAATTCAAACCACTGGATGTATTTACCAATACACCCTGATTGCTGTTTGTGCTGACTGGTAAGAAGAGAGCTGAGGGAAGCCAGCAAACCCATCTCCATCTCTCTGGCCACCTTAAGGCCTATGAGTTTCATCAGGACTGAGAAGAAGAGAGAACTATCAGGTTATTGACTAACTAGAGCTCCCTGTTTAAGGGGTGTTGCCACCAATTACTTCGTGCATGTGTGTGTGGTTTTGCTTTGTTGCATCTTAGGCCCAGGCTCTTTGAAGGAACGTATTCTCCCATACACATGTTAAGTGATGACATGGGAGAGGGCCTTTTCGGTGGCTGCTCCCAGACTTTGAAACTCCCTTCCTAGAGAGGCTAGACTGGATCCCTTCTTGTTGTCCTTCTGCTGGCAGGTGAAGACTGTTCTGTTGTGACAGGCTTTGGGGAACTGACTGCTTTTAAGGAAAAGGCTTTTAAATAGTGCTGTGCTGTTTTTACTACCTGTATTTTAATACAGTGGTACCTCAGGTTACAGACGCTTCAGGTTACAGACTCCGCTAACCCAGAAATAGTACCTCAGATTAAGAACTTTGCTTCAGGATGAGAACTGAAATTGCACAGCGGCGGCGTGGCGGCAGCAGGACGCCCCATTAGCTAAAGTGGTATCTCAGATTAAGAACAGTTTCAGGTTAAGATCGGACCTCCGGAACAAATTAAGTTCTTAACCCAAGGTACCATTGTACATTTTTTTATATTGTTTTGATTCTATTATAGTTTAATTACTTTTTAACAATTATCTTCATCCACAGGACTTAAGGGGGGGATATATAGTTCTCCTCTCCATTATTTCCTCACAACAATCCTGTGAAGTAGGCCAGGTTGAGAAAAGAGTGAGAGGTCCAGTGTCATCCGGTGAGCTTCAAGGCTGAGTGAGGATTTGAACTTGGATCTCCCTGGTCCCAGTCTGACATTCTGTACTGCTACAGTGCACTGTAGTAAAGGGGGCGGGGGTAAAGGATCCCTGGACGGTTAAGTTCAGTCAAAGGCGACTATGGGGTGTGACGCTCATCTCGCTTTTAAGCTGAGGGAGCCGGCGTTTGTCCACAGACAGCTTTCCGACGCATGTGGCCAGCGTGATTAAACCACTTCTGGTGCAATGGACACCATAACGGAAACCAGAGCACACAGAAACACTGTTTACCTGCCCACCACAGTGGTACCTATTTATCTACTTGCACTGGTGTGCTTTTGAACTGCTAGGTTGGCATAGTATAGTATATAGTATAGTATACCTCCGGGTATAGGGCCGTAGATAAATTCAATAAATAAATAAATAATAAATAGTAGCTTTAATGCTCCTTTTTTTCGTGCGGACTGAGACACTGAGGTAAAACTGGCCATGAAAGATTTGCCCAGCTTTCCCATTGTCTGGCCAGAGTGAGAAGAAGCCCAGTCACGCTCATCCCTAATGCTAGTCCACTTAAGTATTTAGAAGAAAATTATTCTAACAGGGGAATACAGACACTGAGGGTCAACTTGCACTAGCAAGTCAGCGCATCTATGGCAACACCCTCTTCAGAATACTCAACCAGAAGGACAATCTGTGAAAAGAGAAATGATACAAAGGACAGGTGCATGGAGGAAGATGACGAACTTGGGAACGTGGTGGGCAGAGGTGGGCAGATACGTGAATCTAGGGTTCAGGCAACACAGACTCAGGGACAAGTGGGCTTTGAGAGCAATTTGGAGCCGTCTCCTCCATGAATTTGTCCAATCCTCTTTTAAAACCATCCAAGTTGGTGGCCATCACTGCCTCCTGTTGGAGAAAGTTCCAGAGTTGAACTATGGGCTGAGTGAAGTTATTTATTTTGTCCTGATTAGAGAGAAAAAAATTGAAAGAGATCATCTCCACCCTAAGATGTCTGTATGGAACATTGTGGTTTACAAAAGAACAGCAAAAGGTAGCCAAATTAAGAGTGCAGAAAAACAATGCCAAACAAACAGTTACGGTGAATTATATTATGTTTTTATATGTACTGGAAGCCGCCCAGAGTGGCTGGGAAAACCCAGCCAGATGGGTGGGGTATAAATAATAAAATTATTATTATTATTAAAATTATGAACCACTTAACGCCTAGCTGGAAAAGCTCATTGACAGTCTCTGATTTGACTTTCATTTGGAATGCACAGATTATATTTCATTGTATATTGACTCTATGACATGAACTGCTTGGATAGAAGAAGAAGAAGAAGAAGAAGAAGAAGAAGAAGAAGAAGAAGAAGAGTTTGGATTTGATATCCCGCTTTATCACTACCCAAAGGAGTCTCATAGTGGCTAATAATCTCCTTTCCCTTCCTCCCCCACAACAAACACTCTGTGAGGTGGGTGAGGCTGAGAGACTTCAGAGAAGTGTGACTAGCCCAAGGTCACCCAGCAGCTGCATGTGGAGGAGCGGGGAAGCAAACCTGATTCACCAGATTACGAGTCTACCGCTCTTAACAACTACACCAATAAGTGAATACATTATATCTGTGCTTGTTTCAGTTGCATGCTCAAACGTAATTACAAGTTGCAGTAAGTCCTGTTTCAGGAATAGCTATAGTACTGTATAGCATTGTTCCTGTTAGTCATTGGATCTCAACCTAGGGAGCCAAATCTTCAGAAGATGACAACAAGCTTCATTGTGCGGCAGCAGTCCTCTGAAACTCCCTCCTGTTGCATATCAGACAGGCATTGTCACTATGGTCTTTTTGAAAACCTTTATTTGTTAAAAAATAAAACTTTTAATTTGATTTTTTTTTATCCCAGTCTGTGTCAAAGATGGTTTTGAAATCATCTTTATACATGCTTTTATTGCAATATGTGCAAATTTTATTGCAAATCGCTTTGGGATATTTTGTGGGAAGTGATCCATAAATGAAACAGACACCCCAGCACCATCTTCCTAGGCATTTATTTACATTGCTTAAAAAAAGAGAAAAAGATAATGTTGCAATGAACCACGTAATGTGTGCAAAAATGCATATATTAGCGTAAAACGTGCATTAAAATGCATATATTAGAGGAAATAGCATACAAAAAGCAGTATATTAGCAGAAAATGCTTTGTAAACATGTGCTTATTAGGTAAAATTGCATACGAAAATGTTTATATTAGGAGAAATTCACACTATGATGCTAATGAATGTTCATGAGAATTTTACATTATTGTTACAGACTGATGTGGCAATGTGGAGAACTGAAGACTGGAAAAATTAGAAACCGAGGACACATTTGCCCATCCCTACTGAGGGAGAGTGCCCAAGGGCTTTACGGAAATGAAGAGACTTGAATGAAGCAAGAGGGGAGCCATAGCTCAGATACCCTGAGAGGCAGCTCCAAGCATCCAGTATCCATCCAGTATAAGTGAAGCTGCTGTTTCAGTTTCATTCCCCCTTCAGCTGTGTTACTTGCATTACAGCCTCAACTCGACTTGGAATACAAATAGCCAAGTTAGTAATGATGGCATGAATTTGGAATTATGTAAATATGTATCAAACGGCACTGTACACATGCCACTTTTGCAGACATTATGCAAATGTTTGTTTTCCTCTCGTTGCAGTAATTTCTCTAGGTTGTATACAACTACTAGTACGATTTTAAACTAAATTGTTCAGTGCCAGCATTGTGGCAGATCACAGGTTCGGAGGAGCACTTAGTATCAGTGGGGTCTGAATTCAAGGTCATGTAAAAGTCACAATGCCCTAACAAAGGCAGAAATTGCTGCCCCTTCTTACAGGGTATATTGCCCTCAGCTCTGGAGTCCAAAATACATGTGGATGTGCTTCAACTATGAAGGAGGCGCATACATAAACAGGGTCTGTGACAATTATGGGATGCTGTTTTGGGAGATCCACCTCCATTGGAACAGCTTTACATGTTTTATAATTGCAATCATTTTATATTTTTCATGATACTATACTTTGGAAACCAGCCTTGAGACTGTATGGTAAAGGGCGGATAAGAACGCTTATAAACAAACACCACTTTTCCCCTCTAAAATTTACGTGAGCGGCGATCTCAGGGCTGTCAAGGAGTAGAGAGGTCACAGAATTGCAACAGGTGATTGGACTAACAACAGAGGTACCAACTAGCAAGGGAGCAAGCCTCTCACTTTGCATAGGAAGGCTGGGGCACAGCAATAAACCAGAGTGGGAGCAAAGCGTGAAGCTGTTTAGCTCCATTTTCAGCCTAGCCTAGCTGACAACACTATGAAGCACAGGTGCATGTTTGCCAGGGGCCCCAGTATAGTTGCAAAGTTTTCTGGGAAGAGGGAATAATAATAATTCTGGGAATTGTAGCTCTGTGAGGGGGATAAGGACCCCCAACAAATCTGATCTCCCTTAACAAACTCCCAGAATGCTTTGAAGGAAGCCGTAACTATTTCAAGTGGTGTG